TCTCTCTCTCTCTCTCTCTCTCTCTCTCTCTCTCTCTCTCTCTCTCTCTCTCTCTCTCTCTCTCTCTCTCTCTCTCTCTCTCTCTCTCTCTCTCTCTCTCTCTCTCTCTCTCTCTCTCTCTCTCTCTCTCTCTCTCTCTCTCTCTCTTGTTGTCATCCATCCACTACTGTGTTTGCCTCACTTTGTACCATCTTTGAAGTTTTATGATCAGGGTCCCTTTATTATCAATTAGGTTTGAGTTGTTTGACTAATATTCCAATTTGATCTTATTATTGAAAATCCATTTTACCAAACGCCCTTATAGTGACAACACTCACGATATTTCGAAAGCCCATCAATAAAGAGAATCTTCTTATCTTTTTGGTCGTCCAATTTGGTTTTAATATTAACCTAATTAATCAACCACACCACAAAGAATGTCTATACGTCTTTGGAAACGATACTTATGACATTCATTTATTATTTATGTCGAAGCAACCCTACTACTTACTCTACACGTCGGCCTTGCAAAATGGATTTGAAATGCATTGTACATATGCAAAAAACATCTGACTCTAAACTATTTTTTATTTTTCATATAAGTATCTTATAAATAGAGATTGTTTGAGAGATTTTACAAGATTATAGAAAAACTCATCAACAAAATTACACAAAACTCTCTATCAATCCTTTCTGATTTTACTAGAGTCATCTAAATTCTTTGCGAATTAGAATCCAATAACACCCCTTAAACAGTAGTACTACTAATTAGTTGAAAGAGATAATTACCTCAAAATTCCCTACGATCATTTCTTATATTTATTGACATACATATTATTCTCCTACCTTGTTACATCAGTTATATTTATTGACATACGTATACTCACTGTTAATAATTTTTTTTAAAAAAATATTTCATTGTTACCAAAATACATTGTTACATCAGTTAATAAAAAATAAATAGGAAAAAATAGGTTTGTATGTCGACAGTATAGAAAATAGAATAAATTTATAAGATTTTTAGTAATAGAGACGAGTAGATATGACTTATGCGAGAACAGAGGACAAGAGAGTTGAAAGTCAAAAGACATTGGTGCGTGCACTTGGACGAACTTCACCAAACAATTGCACGTTATTTTTATTTTTATTTTTTTCCAATCTTCTTTTTTTATTTATTTTTTATTACTTTTTAGTTTTTTCATATCAAATGAAATCGCAAATTAACCTCCATATTTTATAGTTTTGATATTGAAATATATATCTACTTATATAGTATCGTTCAATCATAGTTCTGCAGGTTTATAAAAGTTAATTGAAAGAAAAAGGTCATTATGCAATTAACGTAGTCATTATCATAGTTTGAATATTACCTAATATGGTCACAATGTTAGAATGTATCAACACCACACAAAGACGCATGAGCACAAAAGAGGAAGTAGACATGGAAGCTCATTATTGTGTGTAAAAAAGGAGATAGTAGTGTCAAGTGATTGAACATCAAAAAGAAAAAAGAAGAAATTAAAAGAGAATAGTTTTAAAACAAAAATAATTATATATTTGCAGAAGAGTGGGTGAAAAAATTTGAGTCAGAAGAACTTAGAAGAAATGAGACAGACAAAAGTCTAAATGTTTTTTTTATTTTCTGAGAGTAAAACAATGGAGGAAAATATATGAATCTGATGAAAAATCTGACACAACTTTAGTTTATTATATTTTTGTATGTTGAAACAAGCAAAGCAATGAAATAAATTTGAGGGTTAACGTGCAATTCAAGCAATATCTAGCTCAGAGGTGATAAGAGCATGAGCAATGGTATAATTTAGAGTATGCATCTTAGGGTAAATAAATTATATTAATAATGTAATAGTGTATTTTAAGAACCAAGGAAAATTGAGTAGTTATTGGTTGATCCCGTAGGTTCTTACATTTATAATAATATAATAATGATATATTTATAAATTAAATTGAAAATTTATAAAATGAAAATTTTTTAAAACTTATAAATTAGATTAGAAGAATAAAAAAATCATAACAAACTTTATAAATATTTTTAAACAAAGCACAAACAACCTTTATAAAACAAATAATAACTACAAAAGGACAATAAATAAAAAAATTACAAACATAAAAGATAGAAACATTATAATTTAAAACAGAAAATTTTAAAAATACAAACATATTATGAAACACAAAACATATGAAAAGTTTATAAACCTTTTCAATCATTTGGAAGATGTCCAAATTTAGTCCAAATATTCTCAATCAAATCCTCCTTCAATTGATGTGCATGTTTATCACGTATTCTTCTACGACGATCACCTATACCGTCGAGATTTGTTGCCATATTGTTCGAAAATGTAAAATCCTGGTCACCTTCTTGGAATTCTTGTTCGTCAAAGAGAGTGTATGAATGTCGTTCATCTTCAACAATCATATTATGAAGTATGAGACATACTCTCATAATATAAGCAATTTTACCTTTTTCCCATAGAAGACATGGATTCTTAACCATTGCGAATCTTGCTTGAAGGACTCCAAATGCACGCTCAACATCTTTTCGTGCAGCTTCTTGACGTTTTGCAAACAAAGAATGTTTCGGGCTTTGTGGTAGTCGGATGGATTGAATAAATGTCGCCCAGTCGGGGTAAATACCATCCGTAAGATAGTAAGTCATGTTATATTTCCTTCCGTTGACATAGTAGTTCGTTTGGGGGGCTTGACCTTGTATAATGTCATTAAAAACCGGTGATTGATCAAGAACATTTAAATCGTTGCAAGTACCTGGTGCTCCAAAAAACGCGTGCCAAATCCATAGATCTTGTGAAGCTACCGCCTCCAAAACAATAGTTGGTTTTCCGGTACCTCGAGAATACATACCTTTCCATGCGGTTGGACAATTTTTCCACCCCCAATGCATACAATCGATGCTCCCAACCATTCCCGGAAATCCCCGTTGTTCTCCAATATAAAGTAGCCTTTGAAGATCCTCTTCTGTAGGCCGCCTTAGGTATTCATCGTCAAACAAGTCAACAATTCCAACGACAAAATGTTCCAAACAGTTTCGAGCTGTGGTTTCACCAAGACGTATATATTCGTCAACCGTGTCTGCTCCACCCCCGTAGGCTAAAAGTCGAATTGCTGCAGTACACTTTTGGAGGGGTGAAATACCATTTCGGAAGGTTGCATCTTTTTTAGGCTGAAAATACCCAACTTCTTCTGAGAGACGATTGACAATACGTAGGAACAACGGCTTGTTCATTCGAAACCGTCTTCGAAACATCCTTTCCGGGTAAGTAGGATTGTCACTAAAATAATCGTTCCATAAACGTTCGTGACCTTCTTCTCGATTTCTTTCGATATATGCACGTTTTTTCCTTTCTCGCGGTATATCTTCTACGGTCGCTTCTACTTGATTATCAAATAGGTCTTGATAATATTTGTCAAATTCATCATCATTATTAGAGGTATAATGATAATGAAAATTGTTTGATGAGGAAGCCATAATAGAAATAAGAAGTTTATTATAAGGATAAAAAGAAAGAGATTTATCGAAATTAGAAATTTATTTAGAAAAAGGAAATTTATATAGAATTTTGGAAGTTTTTAAAGAGAATTAAAAAGAAATATTACAAGTTATTAAACAAGATATAACTTGTTCAATGGTTATGTTTGACAAAGATAATATTTGAAAGAAATGAGATTTTGGTGAGAGACAATGAGAGTTTATATTTTTAGCCAAATGAAGAGGCCGAGAGAGTAGAAAGATTGTTAAGTTGTGAAAGAATAATGTAACAATCGGACATATATAGAAGGTGTTAAAGTTGACATGTGAATGATATTGAAGTTAAAGGTATGCAATAGTTAACATGTGAACAACAATACGACACATCCAAAAACATGTGAACATCAATACGACAATATTATAAAGTTCTGAACAACTGAAAACCAACAATAGTTTGAACTTGTGAATAAAAAAACAACAATACTATTAGACTTGTGATTACAATAATCAAAGTTACATGTCGGTACTAAAAATTTAAAGTCTCGATCATCACTGGCACCATATGACAACCATTGATACCATTGATATAATAACACACATTACACCAACAACCATGTTAAAGTTTAGTCTCCTACTCTGCAAGTCTAACATGTCCTGGTGAAGATTCAGAAGCTTCTCTTCAAGTATACTCTCTGTTTCTTTATGCTGTCTCGCTCTTTCTCTCATTTCTTCCATGACAGCTACATCCCACCATTTGTGTACATGCATCTCTCCATCTTCTACATTTTCACAAGTGAAGTACCTGAAAAATCAAACATGTGGAGGATAAAAACAAACAGTTAAAGACTACTATCAAAAGACAGAGTTGGAAGAGGTCTTAACATAAGTAAATGAAAACCAAATGAAGCACTTGAAGCTTACTTTCTACCCGGGTCATTCCTTGTGTAAGATGTATGAAGCAGAGGCTGGCCTCCACAGTAACACTTTGTAGGGAACCCAATCTCAATCTCCTCTTCAATCCTGCGAGCTAAGTTAAATGCACTATTAGCTTCATCCATGACAATGTAAGCGTCTGTCTCCCTATCCACGGTGTCTTCTGTGTAGTGGTCACTCTCGGAATCCTGTGAGTAGCTGTAGTCGTGCCCCATTGATCACCTGAAAATGGACCAAAACCCACATAGTTCCAGACGATACAGACAAAAAGATATCACATAATAACAGACAACCATCAGAAGTTTACTCAGACAACATTACTCAGACAAGTTTACTCATGGTTATGAAACTGAGCAAGTTTATTCCAACAAGTTTACTCAGGATTAGTTTATTCAGATATGCAACAAGTTTACTCAGACAAGTTTACTCATCAAGTCAGATATGCAGCAAGTATACTAAGAAACTAACACAGGTTTCATCTAAGATTAATAATCTGAGACAATTATCAAACAGATGAGACAAATATGACACAGTGAATAGCAATCACAAATATTATACAAGCTACAAGTTCAAATATGAGACAAGTCAATAGCAGTCACAAGTCAATATGAGACAAGTCAATAGCAATCACAAGTCACAAGTGATTCATTAATATATATTACACAATGATACAACAGACATAGATATCACACACATTATTATACAAGGCCCGAACTACATAGTAGACATACTAAACAATAATACAACTTATTAGAC